ATTCATACCTCAAAAAAATCAGTAAGATCTGCATTCTACTTCAATCAACATTTTATAATTTAACTTGTGTAATTAGTTAGATAAGTATCGTTTTGTGAATTTACTGCACTGTCAACCGATTACTGTTATATGTACGGTTATATCTACAGCTACATAACCTATTCCACATAGCTTACAGCTACAATAGCCAACCTGTAGATTCTCCTGTTCACTCATGTTAATACTCTATAACATTTTTTTCAGTTTTTGATTGGTGTTGTTTTGCGGTCAGTAAATTTATTCACTGGACAACTAATTTATTTGATTACATGATAGCATCTTGACAATTTCTATTTTTCCCACCTCACCTCTCAAGGTTGGTTAGTAGATAAATTAGAAATGAAGGACACTTGCTGATGAAAACCCAGATTTTTCTATTTTATATTCAATGTTGAACAATTGATATATTAATTACGGTCGTTAAAGGTTGTTTTTAAAAATGGTCATTTTATATTCGGGTTTTATCTAAAAAAAAACATTTTTTATCTATCATGTATGTTATATTGGTGTATGTGTGCGATAAACAGTAAATAAATATTTCATTTAAAAGTATTGTCTTTGATCTATGTCATCTGTTAAGTTAAATGTGTACTTATTAAACCATTTCAGTTAACTGTGATAATCCGCGTTATGCGTGAAATCGAACGTAAAACATATCTATCATATGCAATATTCCACTCGTCAAAGACCAGCATTTCGACATTAAGCTATACTAAATTCAAACTCCTTTGACTTTAGTGGCAGATATTCAGCCCTACACAATACATGGTGAACGAATAATCATCTATTGAATATTCATGAATATTCATATAATGTCAAATATAATCTGTCAAACCACACTGATTGCTGTCAATCAAAATGCTCTGCCTTGCCTATTCATGATTTTGCCCATAAATGGCCCATATTCAGGTACACCCCCTGGGTTTCCACAATCAGAATGTGGTCTTGCTAGAAGGTGTCTCGTGTAGGCAAGCCAGTAGATCGTAAACATCATTGTTATGTAAATCGCACGCACACCTGGTGGATTCTATTTGTCCTTTCAGAGTTGTAAACGAATATGACCTGTCAATCACCTTTATGACAGTTACCACATGGCAATGCATACCGTTTCTTCCCATTATTCCATGCAAACTTTTATTTTCAGGGTTAGAGGTAATAGGTAAGAAACATAGAATAGAGAATGCTGTCAGTCTGGTGGAACATTCCTAACACTTTTTCAGGGGAGGGTAAACTGACACACTATAGTTTGTCGCAGGATAGAAGTTGAACGATTTAGTGATTTTCATTTTCATTTGTATATTAATTTTTGCTGTTTACTAACAAAACAGAAAAAAAGAAAAACTCTGTGAGTGGTTCTCACTTAGTCGTTTTTCATGACGTACAGCATGGCGTCTAAATCGTCTGCCTCGCGAGGATTTGGCCAGTAATCCTCCTTCCTGTATTCTGTCAGACTAGGAATGGAATCACTGTTATCATCTGGTATTCTGTCATTACCAAACCCTGCCTCCCGCTATTCTGTTGGTACCTGCATGTAAAATGCCACTTTCCTGGTATTCTATTGACACCCTGAGTTCCAACAGTTCTCATTAATCCGAACCCCATCTATCCGGTATTCAGTCAGAACCCAACTTTAGTCCCTGGTACTCTAATTCTACCTTAGTTTTGTATGTTAGAACTCTCATGGCCGAACCCAACCTCCCTGAGATTCTGCTGGCAAACTGCGCCCCAATCGAATCCCCAAATACTTTGATTTACTTAGCCTCATTTTGGCTTCAGCCACACCAATAAAAACTGATGTAAATTGACACAGTTCAGTTCTTGTAACTCACCCACAAGACCTCAAGATCAAGCCGACCCCTGAAGAACTAAAGGCCTTGCACTTTACAGCTTGGACAAAGAATATAG